GGTCTACCTCTACCTTTCTTAACATAGGTTAAATCTAATACATCTACTCTCCTAAATGGGTCATCGGAAGGTCGTCATTTTATGTGACCAAACCATATAAGACAACTCTCTATAATCTTATCTGCCACTGGAGCTACTCCAACCTTTTCATGTATATGCTCATTTTGTATCCTATCTCTAAGAGTAAAGCCACTCATCCACCTGAACATCATCATCTCTGCAACACTTAACTTAATATTATGCTTCTCTTTTAATTGCCAACATTCTGCGCCATAAAGCATTGCAGGTCTAACCACCATCTTATAGAATTTTCCATTAAGTTTTGAGTGGTACTTTTCTATCACACAATAAGTCTGATGCATTCCTTCACTTAATCTATCCAACTTGAATTCTACTAATAATATCCCTTCTATTTCACCATCACTCCGAACAATAAACCCAAGATATCTAAAACGTGTACTCTTAATCTCTTATTAATGACTTGCTCGCTCAAGGTCACAACCCCCCTCCCCCCCACTAGATCTATTGCAACTAAAATTATACTCATTGTATTCGGTTTTAGATCTACTCAAATGAAATCCTTTAAACTCTAAGGTTGACCTCCATAATTCAAGTTTACCTTTAACTCTCTCTTTAGTCTTATCAACAAGAAGAATATCGTCAACAAAAAGCATACACTAGGGAACATTCTCTTGCAAATCTCTAGTAAGAACATTCAAGACTAAAGCCAAAAGATATGGGCTTAAGGCTGATCCTTGATGCAATCCAATTGAAATTGGAAAATACTTGGTCAAACCACCTTGTGTTTGAACACAAGTAACAGCTCCAGCATATATATCCCCAATGACTTGAATATAAGCATTATTAATCCCTTTCTTTCTTAGAACTCTTCATAGCACTTCTTTTAGAACTTTATCATATGCTTTCTCTAAATTAATAAATATCATATGAAGATCTTCCTTTTTCTCTCTATTTTTCTCCATTAAACCTCTCAATAAATATATGGCTTCCATAGTAGACTTACTCAGCATGAATCCAAATTGATTTTGGGAAACATTAGTATCATGTCATAACTTATGCTCATAACTCTCTCCCATAGTTTTAAAGTATGACACATCAACTTAATTCCTCTATAATTTGCACAATCTTGTACATCACCTTTTTTCATAAAGATAGGAATCAACACACATTCTCCACACATCTATCATCTTTTGTCTTCAAAATAATATTAAAAAGTTTAGCAAACCAAAAAATTCCTTCATCTCCTAAGCATTTCCATACCTCTATTGGAATATCATAAGGTCCAACAGTTTTCCTATACTTCATTTTCTTTAAAGCCTCTCTAACTTCAATTTTAGTAATACGTCGATAAAAATAAAAATCTCTTTTCATTTAGATTGTTAAGGTCATTAAAGTTAATCATATTTTCACAATCTTCATTAAAAAACTTAGTAAAATATCTCATACACCTTTGTTGAATATTTTCTTCTAAAAATATTTTTTGATCTTCATCCTTAATGCACTTCACTTGAATTAAATCCTTACTACTTTTCTCTCTTTGTTTGACTAGCTTATATATATATATCTTTCGTCATTTTTAGTATCTAATCTATTATATAAATCATTAAAAGCTAAAGTCTTTGTATCGCAGAATATTTTCTTAGACTTCTTAAGGGCAAATTTATATCTTTTCCAATTTTCAAAATTTTTACATATAAACAAATTTTTATAGCAAAACTTTTTATTTTTGATCTTTTTTTACACATTTTGATTCTACCACCAACTATTTTTATTATTATTAGCTTTTCTTTTTGATACTCCAAGCATATCCTTTGCAATATTCTTAATATTACAAGCTATTATTTTCCACATAACATTAGCTTCCTCATGCACTAACAAAATCTTAAGATCGTGAATTTTACTCTCAAATATATATTTTTTTAGAGTTCTTTAAATTTTACCATATAATCCTAGAACAACGATGTACTATATTTTTTTATATTACGTCTTTTCATCTTAAAGTCTAAAACTAATAAGCGGTGTTGAGTACATAGACTTTAACTTGGAATAACTTTACAATATATGCAATCTAAATGATCTATTTTTCTTACAAGAAAATAATTAATATGAGTTTTATTATAGCCATTCTTAGAAGTGATGAGATGCTGATCTTTAGTCTTAAATAATGTATTAGAAATAACAAAATCATAAGTTAGAACAAAATCTAATATAGTCTTACCACCTTCATTAGTAGCTCCAAATCCATAGCCATTATGAATGATTTTTAAAATTCTCTTCATCTCTACCAACATGTCTATTTAAATCTCCTCTAATAAAAACTCTTTATTCAAAGGTTATTCTTTGTATTAATTCTTCTAAGTCATTCTAAAATTTTAATTTTGAGCATATATTTAAAACTACTTGAGCAATATATGCACTTATAATATTAATAATCTCATCATCAACAATAATCTTTAAAACAATAATTCTATCTCCAATTCTATCAGTTTTTACAACATTATCTTTCAAACTCTTATCCATAGTCACACCTATACTATTTCTAGTACGACTCCTACTAGAATTCTAAAGTTTAAACCCTAAACTGTCAATCTCCTTAGCCTTCTCTCCTACCTATTTAATTTCCTGAATGCATAAAATATTTATCTTCCTATGAATCATAATATCAATTAGTTCCATTAATTTGCCTGTAAGGGAACCAAATTCCACGATTCTAACCTAATTTTATTTTCATGGACTAGCTTCTTTGTCCACATCCGTCTATAATGTGGGAACCCTTCTCTATTTAACATTGCATTCGGGTGCCGATGCAGCTGCCCTTGCACACTTTTCACTGTATTCAAACCATATCGCGCATCGCTTCCAGAGAACGTCCTAGCATTAACACAATGTATTAAAAGATTCATGTCATGATTATTCGACAAGTTTTATGCTAGCTGTCGACTATCTAACGCAACCCTCAACTTTTCTCATCCAGGATTTGGGACTTGGCAATGGTAGTGTCAATTGTGGGACTAAATGCTCACAAATATTTTGGTTTTGAGCACATGTTTGTTAGAATGTTTCTATAAACTTTCATGCTGTCATACATGCATATGTGGGTAAGTCCATGCCATTGCACTTAAATGTGTGTTTTTATATGTATGTTTGTTTCTATGCACGTTTCAGTTTATTTATATGCGTGTCTATCTTGCAGGGATGTGTGCATGCATGAAACTATGAATATTTTCCTCTTTCTCCCTCACGATAATGTTCTTTCAATTCACACTCTACATTCATATATTATACCATTTCCGATTTGGTATCACATTCAGAGTTTCAGACTTCATAGCAAAAGATGTCTCAGTGTGATTATTTTTGCTTAGATCCTTACTATATTTATGAATTTCAGCCTTCTTCCCAATGTGTTTTGAGGACCAAAACCATTTTTGTTTGAAACTTATGTATCACTCTTTTTTTATAAATGTTTTGATTGAACTTAAATTTTGGGAAAGTTTCATCTAAGTCATGTAGTGCAACCTTAAATCAAGGTACAAGTTTTGAGAATATTTCTTTCAAAGTTATTTTTTAAAATCGCCTTCACATTCGGTAAGCCCTCTTTGAATTTTAAGCTGAGGACCTATGTTGTCTATTTATTTTTGGCTATTTCATGCCTAATATTTCACGAGACTTCTGTTCTTATCTAGATGTAAGAAATAAGATTTCTTTTGGTTTGGGTATCTATACAGTAAGTCTAATATTGAATTGTGCTTTACAGCATGAATGCTTACATTGTTTTCAAAGAGGAGCAATCGGCCCATGCTGCTTTGTCTAATAATATGACACAGGTATATAGCTTGCAGAAACATTTTACAATGATGCGCTTGGATAGTTTTTATCTGTACTGTTTTCTATGTTATTGTATTTAAGATAGTAAGGGAACCAAATTCCACGATTCTAACCTAATTTTATTTTCATGGACTAGCTTCTTTGCCCACATCCGTCTATAATGTGGGAACCCTTCTCTATTTAACACTGCATTCGGGTGCCGATGCAGCGGCCCTTGCACACTTCTCACTGTATTCAAACCATACTGCGCATCGCTTCCAGAGAACGTCCTAGCATTAACACAATATATTAAAAGATTCATGTCATGATTATTCGACAAGTTTTATGCTAGTTGTCGACTATCTAACGCAACCCTCCACTTTTCTCATCCAGGATTTTGGACTTGGCAATGTTAGTGTCAATTGTGGGACTAAATGCTCACAAATATTTTGGTTTTGAGCACATGTTTGTTAGAATGTTTCTATGAACTTTCATGCTGTCATACATGCATATGTGGGTAAGTCCATGCCATTGCACTTAAATGTGTATTTTTATATGTATGTTTGTTTCTATGCACGTTTCAGTTTATTTATATGCGTGTCTATCTTGCAGGGATGTGTGCATGCATGAAACTATGAATATTTTCCTCTTTCTCCCTCACGATAATGTTCTTTCAATTCACACTCTACATTCATATATTATACCATTTCCGATTTGGTATCACATTCAGAGTTTCAGACTTCATAGCAAAAGATGTCTCAGTGTGATTATTTTTGCTTAGATCCTTACTATATTTATGAATTTCAGCCTTCTTCCCAATGTGTTTTGAGGACCAAAACCATCTTTGTTTGAAACTTATGTATCACTCTTTTTTTATTAATGTTTTGATTGAACTTAAATTTTGGGAAAGTTTCATCTCTAAGTCATGTAGTGCAACCTTAAATCAAGGTACAAGTTTTGAGAATATTTCTTTCAAAGTTATGTTTTAAAATCGCCTTCACATTCGGTAAGCCCTCTTTGAATTTTAAGCTGAGGACCTATGTTGTCTATTTATTTTTGGCTATTTCATGCCTAATATTTCACGAGACGTCTGTTCTTATCTAGATGTAAGAAATAAGATTTCTTTTGGTTTGGGTATCTATACAGTAAGTCTAATATTGAATTGTGCTTTACAGCATGAATGCTTACATTGTTTTCAAAGAGGAGCAATCGGCCCATGCTGCTTTGTCTAATAATATGACACAGGTATATAGCTTGCAGAAACATTTTACAATGATGCGCTTGGATAGTTTTTATCTGTACTGTTTTCTATGTTATTGTATTTAAGATATAATACGTATTTATATTTAGATTGGTGAAAATCATATCCGCGTTGATATGGCATGTCCACCTCGCAAGAAAATGAAAGGAGATGCTCGGCTTTATGATAGAAAGAGAACAGCTTTTGTGGGCAACCTCCCTTTTGATGTGAAGGTTAGCTTACTTTTGTATAGAGTATAGTTGACATGAAATTTAATGTTGTTTTTTGTTTCCTTAGTATTTTTCATCATCTATACCTGAAATATATTGCTTGCACTCCAGGATGAAGAACTCTACCAATTATTCTGTGGTCTCAGCCAATCAGAACCAAATGTTGAAGCTGTGCGTGTAATCAGAGATCCCAACACAAGCATAGGAAAGGGCATTGCTTATGTGCTGTTTAAAACCAGGGTGAGAACTTTTATTTTCCCGGTGGGAAGAAATATTTGCGTGGCTGCAAGTGTTAGAACCACAACAACAACAACAAACCTTTATCTCACTATGTGGGGTCGGCTACATGAATCCTTTTTCTCCATTGTGTCATATTAAGAGTCAAATTCTCATCTAAATCTAATAAAAAAGACCATTTCTAATATTTTCTAACAAGTCTTTTTAGGTCTACCTCTACTTTTCTTAGCATAAGTCAAATCTAATACATCTACTTTCTTAACCGGGTTATTGGAAGGCTGCCGTTTTACGTGACCGAACCATCTAAGACGACTCTCTCTAATCTTATCTTCCACTAGAGTTACTCCAACCTTTTCACGTATATGCTCATTTCATATCCTATATCTAGGAATAAAGCCACTCATCCACCTGAGCATCCTCATCTCTACAACACTTAACCGAATATTATGCTTCTCTTTTAACGGCCAACATTTTGCGCCATAATGCATTGCAAGTCTCACTACCATCTTATAAAATTTTCTCGTAAGTTTGAGAGGGACTTTTCTATCACACAACAAGTACGATGCATTATTTCAATTCAACCATCCAATTTGAATTTTACTAATAATATCCCCATCTATTTCACCATCACTATGAACAATAGACCAAAGATATATAAAACATGTACTCTTATTAATGACTTGATCGTCCAAAGTTAAAATTCCTGCACTGGATCTATTATTACTAAAATTGCACTCCATATATTCAGTTTTAGATCTGCTCAAATGAAAGCCTTAAGACTCTAAGGTTGACCTCCATAATTCAAGTTTACCTATCAACTCCCTTTCTAATCTTATCAGCGAGAAGAATATCATCAGGAAAAAGCTTACACCAAGGTACAAGCTCTTGCAAATATCTAGTGAGAACATCCATTACTAAAGCAAAAAGATATGGGCTTAAGGATGATCCTTGATGTAATCCAACTGAAATAGGAAAATACTTGGTCAAATCATCTTTTGTTTGAACACAAGTAACAACTTCTGCATATATATTCTTAATGACTTGAATATAAATATTATTAACCCCTTTCTTATGTAGAACTCTCTATAGCACTTCTCTTAAAACTTTATCATATGTTTATCTAAATCAATAAAAATCATATGTAGATCCTCCTTATTCTCTCTATACTTCTCCATCAAACCTCCCAATACATGTATAGTCGGGAAGAAATATTTGCAAGGTTGAAACTGTTAGAATTTAAAAAAAAAAATTATTGCATGCTTTCATGTTATTATTATTATTATTTTGGTGAGCTTTAGCCTTCAGTATAACTCGTTGTGAAGTACTGGTTTTATTTGGCATTTAGACTTTTCATTGAGCAATTAGTTCTTTTATGCTTCAAAATTAGGTAAGAAGGGCATCTATGATTAAGGATGATGAAATTGTTTAGGTATCTTATTTATGGAGCTGGAATTTCATGTCTATTTACGAACTTGATCGTGTTGAAAGAATGCGATCGGAGCCTTGCATATTTATGTATTAGCTTCTTTGATCTTTCTTCTTTGGCAATTATTCAGGCTTGGGTTTGCTAACGCAGATCTATGGTGAGATGCTTAAAACTACACATTCAAATTCACAACTCAATATTACTTAATTTAAACATCTAAACTTTTTTTAGGTACGCACAAAACAATTATTAGGGTTTAGGCTTTTCTAATTCATACCTATGAACTGATCGTCAAAATCAAATGCTCTCATTCAAATCTGCAGTTTAGAAACCCTTAATTTAGATAATTGTATGTTCCTTTATATAAAATTTGGAATGCAAAGAATTTGATTTGGAGCTAATTTGATAGTCCTCTATTCAAAATACCACATAAATTTACGTCCATAAAAAGAAGACGTTTGATTGAGATCGTGCAACCAAAGACCAAATTATAACAAATATGATAAAAATTAATCGCAAAATTAAATAAACTACTAGAAATTAGATAATAAGAAGTCACACCGGTCCTGGTAAATAACTTCCTGTGAAAATTTTCATCTCCAATTGCACCCCAAACAAAAATCCATTCAGTCAAAGCAGAAAAAAATATATATATAAGTTTACAAGAGGCGGAAGCAGCAAGGGGGCGGAAGCCTGGCTTGAGTGGGACCCACACATTAAGGCTGGGATTAGGAGGGAAATTCAAATTAGAGGCTGTTTGGGGAATAATGAATTGTTCTTTTACCTTAAATAATCTTCTTCTTGTTAGGATTAGATTTTTCATCTTGAATTTGAATCTGAATTTGGGATCTCTTGTGTGGTGCTTGGGCTCTAGTCTTTGGCTAGAGAATTAGAGAGTTGGTTTGATGAGGACATCGAAGATCAACGGCTACGATTGTGTCTACTTATTTTGATGTATTTTATTTGTTATTTGTAATTTCCCATTTATACCTTCACTTGAGGGTTTTGTCTTATGTGGCCCTAGGGGCATTTGTGTATTTTTTTTTTCTCATGTATTTGGCTATTTAAGCCTTCCCCTTCCTCTTGGAAAAGGGATGATGAATTATTGATAATGAAATTTGATGTTCTTGTTGATCTCTTAGTGAGTTTATGTTGATCTCTTAGTGAGTTCATGAGAGGAGAAGTCCGAGGAGGGTAACTTGTAATACCCGTCAATCTTTGGAAGAGTCCGAGGTTCGCGGTTCTTACGATCTCTTTGTGAGTTCGTTAGTTATCTCTATCTTTCTCATATATTCTTGTTCATCTCCTTTCTTCCCTCTTCATCCACCCAAGTCTTCCCCTAGCTCCACCTCCCTAAGCCGACGACTATCACCCACCCGATCGCCGGCCTAACCCAGCCCTTTCCACAGTTTTCTCCCCCCACCCCCCCGCTCTAGCCCGGCACCTCCCTTAGCCTCCCCAGCCTCCACGGCTGGCCACCCGCCCAGCTTCACCCGCCGGCCATCCCTTAGGTCGCATGGGATTGTTTCACATCATGGTTCTTCCTCTCAAATTGAAGATCCATGTATCTTGTGCCATTTTTCTTCTTCTACCAGTGAATTTCAAGTGTTTTCTCTCAGATTTCCTAGAGTTGTTTACTGCAGATTTTTACTCTGTTTTCCATTATTTTGAGCTGTTTTCTATCAGATTCTTGATCACTCCGGAAGCTATTTCGATTAGAGATAATCCCCTAGTTCTAATTTGAAGCTTCTTGGCATCCCTCTTTTCCTCTTCGTCCTTTTTTTCTCCTATTTCATTATTTTGATTTTACTTGGATCTCTTACATTTTGGTTTATTTTCTGTGCATGAAATATTTATCAATTGCTTTGTTTTTTCCCTAAATTTCTAAAACGAGATCGAAAGTTTTTCATTGATACTAGAAAATAATTGTTCTGTTAGATAACTTTTTTTTTTGGTAGAATAACTTGCATCTAATTCGAATTATAGCACTACATACATAATTTATGTTGGAAACTCACATATTCTACGTGTTTTTTGCTCTTTGGAACCAAACACCTAAATCACAAACACTCCTAACTCAATATTTTTATTCCTATTCGCAGGATGCTGCCAACAATGTCTGCAAAAGAAGAGACTTGAAGATTAGGGACAGAAATTTGAGGGTCTGCCATGCTAAATCAGATGCCCTCCCATCTAAAGTTAAAGAAGGCCCAAGCAAACGGTTTCCTCACCAGAGGCAGCCCACAGCTCACAGTGGCGTACCTTCAGGAAGAGGAGAAAAACGGAAGAGAATAGATACTGATTCAGTGTCATATGAAGGCACCCGCTCTAGCAAAACAGGTGTTCTGAAGAAATCTTCCTTTCGGCCACCCCAAAGCAGAGTGAGTGACAGTGGTGCCAGGAGGTCCAGCTGGAATGAACAGCAGGGTCGCAAAACGAAGCGACCGGCCGTAGCTGCCAGGAAAGCTAAGGAGCACCAAAAACGGAAGCAGCCGAGTGGAGCATCGGAAAATGCCGGTCGAAATAAGAGAGCAAGACGGCAATAGGAAGGCATTTGAGACTACTAGTGTCTGTAAGTTTCATTTTCAGTATTGTAATTCTTCCTAGAGCCAAACAGAGAGCTGTTTCTGCTCAGCATTGTGAAGTTCATAACTTGATCTCTGATATGCATCAAATTGCTGTGTTAAAGGTTTCATTTGGGATGACTTTTTTACTGCTTAAAATAAATTTTTATTAGAAATTTATTTTAATAAGCAATAAGAAAGTCATTCCAAACGAAGCCAAACTCTCATGTATCTTATAGATTTTAATCATTTATCAGGGATAATCAATTTATGAAATGAAATCTCTGCATTTAGTTGAAAGATTTTATTTCTCAGCTTGGAGGGTTTATGACGCAAGAGCTTAGTCGTTAATTGTATTAAACTTCAGGCTATATTAAGTCCATTTGGTAGTTATAGGGCTATAGAGGTGTAATGCTTTCTTATTTTGTATGTAGCCTATTATGTGCTTTCTTTTTGGCTATAAATAGGTAGCCAATGCTTGTAATGAGGGAGATTTTTGGAGATCAATAAAATTAGAGTTTTACTCTTGTGAATTTCTATATCCTAAGATTATTCTTAGGTGGTGGTTCTTGCTCCAAGGAGTTCTTGGAGTGGTATCCGGCGACTGCCACCGGATCGTCGACGTGGATTTGTCGAGCCCATTACGGTCCGGTGTCATATAGAATGTTTTTTTTTTTTTCAAATTACTTTATCTTCAAAAGCATTAGTCTATTTCATTGAATTTTATCCGATCAAGCTTTCTAAAAGACTATCTTGGTAGAGAGGGAGGACCTCTCAGCTTCCCATTGCTTCCTCATCCTAGTAATGAATAATGAATCATGGGAACGAATTTCCTACCCTTCCCAGTAATAATGAGCTAAAGGGCTCCTTGTTTTGCCAAAACCCTATCGAAACATTCTTGATCCAGTTTTAGCTTATATTGTTCTGCTTAAAATAAGGCCAACAAATGGAGAAATTTTTATACACGAATAAGGTATATAAGAACAATCAAATTGCATGAAATGCATAACTAAAATACATAGCTACTATTATTCATCATGGTGTTATTTGAAATCATTCATTATCTTATAAGTATTATTATATATGTCAAATATTTATAATATAATATATATTATTTATTATTAAAATATATTCTTATTATTTATTTATATTGTAATATATGCTCATTATTCAGGGTATATTTATTTATCATATTAATTATTACATCTTTTATTGTTTATTATTAATCACAAATTTTTAAATATTATTCAATTTAATAAGAGTCGTTATAATTTTAGTTTTGTAACGAGTGTTAACAAACATTTTTTGTTGAAGGTTTTTTTATTTCTCTCATCTTTAAAAAATATTAATTTTTTATTATTTTTAATATGAAACTAAAATTGTATTGAGCTTTATTTGGATCTAACTAAATGATATAATTTAATAAGTTCATCATTCCTCCAAAGATATATATATTAAACTTTAGGTAATTAGATTAGCAAGTATTAGAGTTGTTGTTGATGACATGCATTAATGCATGTTGGTGGTGATGCTGGATAAAGAACTCGACTAATGTTGATGTTGAAATTGACGACCCACATTAGCTTTATTGGTGATATCGTGCATTTATGTTTATCATGATGATGGTTAGTTGACAACAAATTTAGGGGTGTTTGGATGACTATTTGACGATGATGATTGGGTTGCGACAGCCTGATATAAAACACCGAGTTGCCCAAACTAATTATCTTGGAGATAATCATCTCCTTCATCAAATGTGCCATTAGTCTTTTCATTTTGTTGTAGCTTTCACGTCAGTTTACATTTCTAATAGAAACCCTTTTACTAAAACAACTAGCCATCATTGCTTTGAACTGCTGCAGAAATCTTTGTTATGTCCACATATTAGAAAGAACTTGGGAATTAACCCCATTTTGTCATTTTTGTATGGTTTTGTGCATTTAAATTAATTAAAGGAGCCATGCTGTGTACCAAGGAACTTTTATTATGTCCTCTGACCGGACATAGATCTACGTTCGGTCAGAGGATTGTTACTCGGTTTTTGCTCGGTATTGCTAGGTATTATTTGGTAATAACGAGGAATACTGCTCTGTGAAGATCAATACCGAGCAATACCAAGTTATATCAAAGTTTTTATAGAAAAAATTCGGTATTTTTTTGGTATTACTCTGTATTGCTCTATATTTTATCTTCACATAATAATATTTCTCGTTATTGTTGATATTGCTCGGTATTTGCTCGGTATTTCTCGTTTTGTGGCTGGATCTTAGTGCCGGCCGAATGTAGCTCTACGTACGTTCACCGGACCAAATAAAAATTCGTGTACCAAGACACATTAATTCCAGAATGACTATGTATATCTTCATACTAAGGTTATTAATTTTTTTTTTCTTCATTTTTATTCTTCCAAATTTGCTAGGCAATTTTAGTTTGACTATTTATGTGCTTCTAAGATGTTTTTCCTTGATGCAATCGAAATAATTGTTCAAAGGAGAATAATGGTTCATTACATAGAACTAATGATCTTATGGGTATGGATATGAATGTGGATCGTATATTTAGCCTATTTTACAGCTCTAGGTCCAGGAGAAAATTAAACCCTTTACTGTGCCTTTTTAAAGAAATTATAGCTGCCAATGGTTGCCCAAATGACTCAGATTTATGGAAGTTATAGATTTGTTATTGTTGTGTATGGATGAAATAAATTCAACCACCAAACCTTTATCAGCTTTTAGCTTGATCAAAGTTTTAAAGATTTATTCGCAAATCGAGCTTTTAAAAAATGTAATCCCAAGGGCAAAACAGTAAGTTAATGTTTACTGATTTCTATAAATATGAAAGAAACAATTTCAAATAGCTTTTGTAAAGAACATGAAATAACTAGAACACATTCACGTGGTTTGAGTTCTTACGAATTCTACATCTACAAGGTAACCTCGTTCTTCATTTTTTATTCAAATATGTGTTTGGAGAAAATATGATATAAGACATATATATATATAAATCATTAAATTGTTTTGGACTTTTATAACAGCAGGCTATAATCTGCTGAACCAAATAATAGATCGACATCCTATGATTAGTTTGTTGGTGTTGTTTATTGTTCTATTGGTTTTGGGCCATGTTTGGGTTATCTTGGTTTTGTGTTTCTTGTTTGGTATGGGTGGTGGGTTAGTATCTCGAGTGTTTGGCTAGTTGATGTAGCTTTTGGGTTTCCTGTGTAGTGTTGGGCCTTTGGTGCTGATCTCGTACGTGGTGGGTTTGGGGTTGTTTTTGGGTGTAATGTTGGGGTTCTTGTGGAGATTCTAGTTGTTGGCATTTTGGGGTTTCCTTTGCCCTGTTAGGTGGTTGGCTTTTGCTTATGGTTGTTCTGTTAGTGCGGTTTGTGTTCTTTGGCTATCTTCTGATTTCTTGTTTTGTATGGTTGACTATTTTATTAGATTTTTGCGAAGTTGTTTGCAGGGTTTTGCCGGTTGGGGGTGCTGGTTGTGCGTTTGAGTATTTGGTTCTGCCTTTTTTTTTTGAATTTATGTAGGTCGTCTCTTATTGGTAGTGGATTGTGTGGTTCGTGGTTCGACTTCTCTGTGTGGCCTTGTCTACCTCTATTAGACGCTTCTTAGTTCATTCAAGCTTTGGCTTGATTTTGGTGACTCCTTTTTCTCTGGTGCATTCATTGAAGGTCTTGCTTGGGCTCTTTTTGAGGGATGGTTTCTTGCTTCCTTGATTTTTACTGTTTGCTTTTGCAATAGATAGGATCATTAGCTCATTAGATTTTCTTTTAAATGATCGCGTTATTATGGCTTTGTAGAGCATCTGATCCTCTAAGGACCTATAATTTCTTTTTATTATTAACATGCAGGCCCCTATGTATATTTTAACTTTTTTTTTGGAAATAGTAAAATTCCCAACTACAGAGATCTTATAACATATCTTTAACAATAGACGTAAAAAACAAATGCTAATAGCACCAATTAACTCCACTAACAGGATCTAAAAGATCTTTAAAAACAGGTCCTGTAGGTAACTAAAAAAAAGATATTATGTAAAACAAAGAACGAAACACCCAAATTCGGAGCTGCAAAGAAATTCACCAATCTTTCTAATCTAAATGGGAGAAATGATATATGTGTTTCAGCATATATATGGCTTAATATTGCAAAAGGAATAAGTTCATATAGCACAAACCCGACTTCCCACCGACAATCACGTTCAATTTTCTATCACGAGGAAGAAGAACAACGCTGAGATGAATAAGAAGGGTTTACCTTCTTTACATACTCATAAATCCACCGATTTCATCTACCCATTTTCTTCTCTCTCACACAAGAAACCTAGCACCGTAAGCCCTAGCCCCTTTTCTAGCAAAACCCTCGCTCTCACACCCGAAGTATTGTCCAGAGATAAAATTAAAGAATTTGATTGATACTCTTATGCAGATATATATTTACATAATGATTTTTGTCATGACCTTGACCACTGCCCTTCTTTGATTCTATATAATTCTTTTTCAAGAGACCCTTCTTGCTATAGCTCTCGTTCACAACTTTTCCTCAACCTGAAGTAGACTTTCCTCACTTAGATTTAGATCTTCATATGCTTGGATTTCTCTCTAAACCCCTTCCTCTTGATTCAAATTTAGAACATAATTTGAAGATTCACCGTTCACCCTCCCACGAACCTCTTCATTAAGCACTAATCTCACAATATCCTCAAGTTTAAATTTAAACTTCCTGAAGAGTTACTCACAATAGAAATGCCCTCACCTCATCATCAAAATTGATGCCAATTGAACACAATTGACTCATCATAGTGTTTAGGTTATTCAGGTGCTCTTCCATTGGAATATTATACATTATCTTCATGTTGAATAACTTCTTCATCAAGAACACTTTGTTTGAGGCTGATGACTTCTCATACATCTTAGTCAGTGCGACCATGAGATTGATTTTAGTCTTCTCAATTACAATGTTGAATGCAATAGATGATAAAAGGGAAAGTCGTATCAAACCAACTGTTATTCAGTCAAGAACCTCCCACTACTCCATAGTCATATAATCCAACTTCTTAGTGATCCCTTTCAACGGTAAATACAATTTCTTCTGATACAACAAATCTTCAATTTGCATCCTTGAGAATGTAAAATTTGAACTATTGAACTTCTCAATCATATAGCTTACTTTGTCGGTACGTAATTACTCGAATTCAAAATGAACAACCTCGCTCTGATACCAGATGTTAGGGATGGAAGTAAAACACCACTATGAAACAAATAAGAAAGTAAAAGTAGCGAAAATAAAAAAGACAATAAAATTTAACATGAAAAAATTCAAAATAGAAAAAAAAAAACTACTAAGCCACACCACACCAAAAAACCCACAATGAAAATTGTGAGAAATAAGTACATATCCGTCTTCTCTATCTCTCTCACCTTGATTTTCTTCACTCTTACACTGTTCTCTCTAAAATAAATAAATAAATAAATAAGAGAAGAGAGACAAGTTATTAACACCAACTAATGTCACACTCAAGAAAAAATGAGAAAGATAACTGTCCAGTTAACCTCGAAGCTTTGCGTCACTAGTTTGAAACACTACGATGCTTAAACCTCTGATCTCGTTCCATCTGATGATGCTACGGCGCTCAAACCCACATTTTTGCGCCACTACGTAGTATTACAACACCAAATCTAGAGCTCTGTTGCGCCCTTCTTTCTTTTGTTTCTCCCAGCAAACTCTACAGTGTTAGGGTACTTGGGAACACAATATCGGGGCACTTGGGTAGTTGGGTACAAAACACTAAGATGTTTTATGAAAAAAAAAAAAAATACTTTTTATGTGCAAAGCTCCTGAACCCAAGCAGGAGGAGGACCCTCGCACCCTCTAACAAGCACAATAAATTGAACAGAGATCCGAGGTAACAATATAACCCGATTGATCAACACAATCAGATTCCAGACATAACTAACAAAATCCTCTTACAATTTATATTTTTTCCTTTTTGAATGTTGATATCCTTTTTGTTTATTCTTACCAAGTTTCATCTTTAACTTGTCTTCAATTTTTTTGTCTTAATTGGCATGCCCTATAATGAGTGGGTTCCTATGTTATATATTCATGCGCATCATATATATAAGACTCGAATTTAAATTTTTTTAGTTGATAGTCAAAATTCTCAATTAGCCTCCTCTGTTTATAGAATGAGAGATTTCGAAGATGATGATTATATTAAGTTTGTCAGTTGGTTGAAATTGCGAAGAAATTGTAAAGAGCAGATGACTGTGCGGATTGGGAGCGCATAGTTAATTGCCGGAGTACACATAATGTTCACACTATGGCAGATTATTCTTATTATAAAAAATATAAATTAAGAGAGAGAGAGAGAGAGAGAGAGAGAGAGAGAGAGAGCTTTTCATAATTGCTGATTTGCTGTTACAGAGAGTTTATAATTGTCAAAATTACACTATTTAATTCCTCGAGTAGGCTTACATAACGAGCGTTTTGGTAGGTCTTCGGTCTAGCAACTTCAATTTAAGCAAACTATGAGGATGCCCTTTGGACTACTTAATATTTATAAATAATCCTCATATTTTAAACAGCATACAAAGTTAGTTCCAATTATAATTTGCACATCAAAATCGTAGGGTGTGTAAATATTCAAATTGATCTTCCAAAACTAATAAGACCTGGTGCAATAGCGAAGATCATGCATGCATCTTTTTAGGGGTGTCAAAAACGGGTTGTGGTTCGGGTTGAAGCCCGACAATGATCCGCTTCTATTCCCGCTTTTACAAATGGGTCAGATTCTTAGACCCAAACCGAACTGCCTCGAGTCCGGGTCAACCTGACAAGACCCGACTCATGCGGTTTCACGGGCACATGGTTCGCTAGTGGCACACAACTTTTGCAGGCAAGGTCGCCGACTAGGTCGCGAGGGCAACGTTGGGCTACCGGTGACTGCCGTCTTAGGTCTTAGGGCAGCGCTGGGTCGCAGCTGGTGTGCAATGGCAGCGGTCACAAGACGACAACAACGAGCTTGATATTCCGAGGCAGCACTGATGAACGAACCAAACAACCGATGGTCAACATGATTGATGAGGACGTGATTGAGTCTATTTTTTAATATACGTTGATGACATACTGATAATGGGAAACAACTCTCAACATATTGATGGCTTGCTACAACAATTAAACCAAACATTTCGGATGAAGAACCTGGGCTCTCTAGCTCAGTTTCTCGGAATATCTGTACAGCACACAGAGAAAGGGCTCATACTACATCAAGCAACATATGCAGAACAAATTTTGAACAAAGCAGGTATGTTCAACAGCAAGATGGTCTCTACACCCATCAGTTTCAAAACTGATAGACAACCAGATTCTCCGGCATTTGACAACCCAAAGCTCTATCGTCAACTAGTGGGTGCACTACAATATTTGACATTAACAAGACCAGACATTACCTATGCTGTTAATAGAGCTTGCCAGCATATGCATCAACCGACTGTATCTAACTTTGAATTCCTGAAAAGAATTCTACGCTACATAGCCGGTTCCAAACAAACAGGAATTCCGATTGGTGCAGAATCATTGAAACTAAGTTCCTACACCGACTCCGACTGGGCCGGAGATTCACAAGATAGGAAATCCACAACAGGATATTGCAATTTCTTGGGATCTACTCCAATCTCATGGTGTGCAAAGAAGCAAACCACAGTGGCGAGGTCTTCGACCGAGGCCGAATACAGAGCCATTGCGTTAACAACCACTGAGATCATTTGGCTGAGGCGGCTACTTGAAGAACTAGACTGCATACAGGCAAAACCGACACCATTGTATTGTGACAATACTTCAGCTATAGCATTAGCAAATAATCCCGTATATCATGCGAGAACAAAACACATAGAAATTGATTGTCACTTTATACGAGAATGCATCAAAAATCAGTTCATACAAGTGCATCACATTGCTTCCAAGGATCAGATAGCTGATTTATTTACCAAGCCTCTTTCCATTTCTCGCTTCAAGCAACTCATTACCAAACTAACAGTTCCGACTGAACCATTAGTTTGCAGGGGAATGTTGACAGCTCAGCAAGAATGGAAAAACAACGAAAACAAATAGTTTGTTTACAGCCGCAAAAGCGGTTATTTCCGTTATCAGCCTATCATGTAACTCAACTATAAATACTCATGTAATAGCTGAAACAGGGCAATGAAAAATATTTTCACCTCCACATTTCTCTTCTTGATTTTCTTTCCAACTGAAGCTTAGAGCTTCAGTTCATAACTGTTTGTCTCATCGACACATCAGTTTTCAGAAATCTCTAAGCCAAACTCAACCCGGTTCTCGGTTCGGGTTCAAGTCAACTCAAACCCGAAATTTTCAGATCAAATTTTCAGGTCATGACGAATATTGACACCCTTACTTTTTGCATAAGTCAAACTAATCAACTTGTCATGAAACGTAATAAATCAAACCACCTAGGTCTTTCTTCCCCAAGGAAAAACAAAAGAAGAAGCTAATCTTAGATCAGTTCACGTCCATTATCATAGGAAGTGAGCAAGATAGATTTAGAAATAGCTCAGGGTGAATATTTTCTCAAAATTCTAATAAATATATTCCTCTATTATTTTACCTCTAAGTTTACACACATTACAATCTTATTGTGCTCAAATTTGTGGCTAGCATAAAGTGAATTAAATTAGACTGTGTATCAAAAATCAAAATGGTTCAAAAACTGATCAATTGAGCACAAAAGTGCAAGTTCACAAATTAATTTGACCAGCACAAAGCTAGAAGGAATGTTATTTAAATCAATTAGGCCAACACCAAAGCTAATAAGTATGTAACTCAAATTTATCATACAAATACCTATCAAATAACCTATCATCAAATTATTTGGACCAACACAAAGTTAACAAGTTCACTAAGACTTCATTTGAGACCGCTAGTTTTTTATCACTATTTTTTTGTTGCTTTCAAAAAAATTTTATACTAAAAAAATATTTAAAAAAACAGTAAAAAAACTGTCTCAAATGAAACCAAAATTAACCCAGCCAAATATAATGCTGCATGTCCACCACCAAATCAAATTGACTAGAATGAGAAGCCATCATGTCTGCAAATCATATTTGATGGACAAGAAGAAGCCAAGAAATTCATTAAACCAATTAGTTAGGTAGGAAACATCAAGCTCATTAATTAAACCATCACATCATAGGCGTTTCCAAAACTTCTTGAGCAAATCCAAGACCCCATAAATGCCTATTTATTATTTTGTGCGGAGTGCAAAGGGCATCCGGAGACCAATAAAAATGCACCACATCACTCATTGTTGGTATCCAGCTCGGTACCGGCACTCGGTACCCCTAAGTACCGCTGGGTACCCAGTGCATACTTAACCAGACGGTTCTCCCGTCCGGTGTCCGTACAGAATAAAAGCTTCATAATGCCAAAGGCTTCTCGGTAACAAGTGTTAAAATCTACCTTAAAATTTAAGTTTTACTAAGGACTCCATTTATATCACTAAAATTAACGATTTCAATCATTTCTTTGTCGCGATAAGCCCAAGACCTGCCTGCATGTTTGTCACAGTGCATCAAAGTATACGTACGTTAACGCTCATATCCATCTTTCATGAGAATAACGGTAGGTACAATCCGCACAGTTAAAAACATATAAATCAAATAGAAAGTTCTGCACTGTAATTTCTTCTTAAAAAATACTATCAAATCTAAGCTAAAATATTTATGACATCATATGCATATATATTCCCTCCACGTATAACTTTTATGATCTAAATACGAAGACAAAACCCTCAATGGTAGATAAGATTTTACCTAATCCTTTCTGCTGCATGCATGTGGATATAAAGATATGATCAACCTTTCTAGATTTCCAACGTCGTAAGCAACATATCAGCATTTTCATTCTGGAATGAATGGTGAACAGAATAAAATAAGCTTACATATAATGTTAAGATAAAGTACAGATTCATTTATATAAGAATTATATATGAACATCGAAATCTTATTATATATGAGTGTTTTTCATTGTCATCTTCATTCTTCAAAGCCTTATCTAACTATTTTATGAGTGTTAACTAAGGTGTCGGCTTCATCTGAGTTAAGTTCTATTGTATAATGTTTAGGCATGTTACTTTGGTCCAACCTGGCCTTTTGCTTATTATTAATTTCATTTATATTTTATTTAACGACTAATTTGGTTGCTTGAAGTTAGGAATCATGTTTTAAGAAATGATAATTAATGTGTTAAATTTGTTATTTGATTAATTGTTTTATTTTTGACCCGTTTTGAAATCGGGTCGGGTCCAACCCGGATTTTTCTGGTCGGATCCGGGGCGGGTTTTTATGTCGTGTCAAATATTGACACCCCTAGTCTACATGTTAATTAAACATAAAATTACAGATCCTTAAAGAACCAACAACCCTCTAAAAAATGCAACTTTTGAAATAAAACCTAAGACCCATTGGTTCTAACTATTACACATAAGTAATAAAGAAAAAACAAAAAGGATAAACAAAACCAGCTAAAAAAGCACAGCCAGTCAAAGGGGCAACAACCAACAACCACTAGCTAGAAGAGCAGCCACAACATCAGGAGGAGGAAACTTGCAGTGGCAAACAAATAAGAACGACCACTACCAACAGATCAAGCCCCAACAATAGAAGGGCCAAACTAACAACTCAACAAAACTCATAATAAAAACAATCAAAGAGAAACCACTTAAGACCAACCAAAGCCCACCACCAAAGAAGAAGAGAAACCCACCACCTCAATACAAGATAATCCCAAACAATGTAGAAATAACCAACAAACCAACCAGCTCAACAGAACCCACAACCAGAAAACCACACAAATCATGAACATAGCCTTTGTTTGTGTTCTGCTTATTTAAAATTTGAGCTCAAAGTATATGTTCATCATGAATAATTTAGTTAAGGAACAAGTCAAACACGAGCATCCTTTCAAGCTGATCACATGAGCTATTCACAAATAATGTTTTTTTTTACAGCCCTATTGATCAAAATTTAATTTTAGGTATTTTAAAGTCATTAAATTTCCTTTAAGATCATTGTAATATTAATTTATATTGATTATTTCAGTATTTCACTAATATTAAAAGAAATATAATAATTTTGAGACCCATCCTAACTAAATTTTAAAAAGAGTATTCTTATCCAACTTCTTCTCTAGTAAATAAAATCCCTTTAAGTTATTTAATATCATTCAAATTTTCCTTTGCACTTCCAACTTCAATCAAAAAATGCTAGCCTGGTATTAAGATTAAAATATTATAGAAAGTAAAAACATTCATGGTCAAGATATTTATTATAATTTTAAGTAATATTAATGTTTTTTTTAAATAACAAAAATATTAAATTTAACCATATGAAAAAGCATTCAAAAATTATTTTGCAGTCATATTCTGTGATACAAATCTTTGAGCAATTGAGATTGTAGTATATATTTTAGTTTGCAAGAATATTTCACATACATACATATAAAGAAAAAATTGTATAGACATGAGATACAAAATTCTTATGTTAATAATCAAAGAAGGGAAATTTACAAAGCCTAACCTAGTTTAAAATAATTTTATGAATGAGAACCGATAGTTACAATGATACTCCCTTCCTATTATTAGAAATGTGAAATTACAATGTGTATTTGTAGATCGTGTTAAAAAATCTCCAATTCTGCTGGCTAATGATGATGTCAATTATTAATAATGCGTGCTAAATGTAAATTATCAAAAGGTTCAATTGTCATTGTTGTTCACCTAAGGGTGTTAAATGATGGATGGTAAGAAGCATTGGCATTAGTTAGTTGAGAGTGTTAGAAGAGGGAATATAATAAAAAATTAGTAATCGGTGTTGGTTGACTACAAAAGTCAAATGATGTTGTCTATGGACATTAGCGTTGTTTAATGATAGGAGATATTAATCATCTATCATTAGGGGTAAGAAGACAACTAATATGATATTTCTCTTGCCTGCAAAAAAAAACCGGTCAATCAAGAAAGCGGAAGACAATTCAATGTTGACAGAATAGAAAGACAATCGATTGGAGACTCCAAATGGGGGTCAAACGTCTATATTTCTTCTAGGAATTTGAACCTTTTTTTTATTGAGCTTATATGAAATGAGTATAAATATGAGTTTTATATTTCAAGATAATCATTTTCTCTTTCGTTATTGAGATCTACCAAATCAATGACATGGATTGACCAACAAATATTGGTTCCCGCTCATCTAAAAAAAGTGACTAGTAGGGTCAACTCGATGGGCCTACTTGGGACAAGGTCGCAACTTGGATGTTCAATGTTAATGATTCAACGACTAAATCTTTGATCAATGCATGTTGGGTACCACCTCAAAGCACTTAACACCAAGATTGCTAAAGAGTTGGTGTATGAAAAATCATATGGTTGGATTTTTCTGCAATAAAATTTGGCGTGTATGTCATGTTTTATTATTATTGAGAGTAACTCTAACTCCTTTGAATTTGGAAAATTGCTAGAAAATTCTATACTTGGTCGAATCAATTTTACGAATTAAATCATTTCTTATTCGTTTATTTCTAAATTTATGACAAATGTTTAAGTGAGTAAGAGTTTTTATGACGAAATATAATTATTTAGTCAGGGTAATATATTCACATTTTAAGACTATTTGGGTTTTATTTGATGAGTCCAAATGTCATGAAAGCAACACGAATTATTGTATAAGAATTATGTATATGATCATCAATTTGCTCAAACTTAGCTAACTCAAAATCCAATTTAGCCTTTACGATTCTCTCAAAATGCATATTTCATATAAAAATTATTGATACGTCATCACAAAATCATCTTGATCGGGCACGAATCTCGAGGCAAAAACTAGTTGGAAACTTCAAAAATTAATTTCGGGAGCATATGAACTCCGATTTCAGCGAGCTTACAGTCAAACTGAGCGTCTCGGAAATACGAACCCAACGACACCAAGATCAACCCAATCCGAGCCCAAATGAGTCCGAATCAAGGGTTCAAAGCACTGTTGGAAGATTCAAACCGCAATTTGAGTAACCAAACGGTCTCCGATTTTGACGAGCTTATA